AAACCAATCCTTCAAAAAAATGCCAAGTAGAAATTTTGAAGACGACAAGGAGAAAAAATGGCGAAATCACTCCTTTGTTCTTCAACCCTAAACCCATTCTTCTCTTCCACTCTCTCTTCATCAACTTCTTCGAAGAAGAAGAACCAAATTGCATACTCAGGAAACAACAAGAACCAGACATCGTCTCTGTTATGGAAAAGAAGAGATTTGTCTCTTGGATTTATGAGCAGCTTTCTTGCGGTTGGTCTTGTGGGTAATGACATAAGAAGACGTGACGCAAATGCAGCGATTCTTGAAGCTGATGATGATGAAGAGCTTCTGGAAAAAGTAAAGCAAGATCGTAAAAAGAGGATTGAGAGACAAGCTGTTATTAATTCTGCCGTCAAAGAAAAGGGTATTTCTTTGATTTTTACTCCAAATTTTGCATTGAAATAATCAAATCTTTCATCCTTGTGAGTGTGTGTTGTTTGAGAGTACTGTCTGTGTTGAGAAAGTTGCAAAAGCAATTGGTTTCTGAACAAATTGATGGAAGAGTTTGACTCTTTTGGGAACAAATGTGCTTTTCTCTTTGTGTTGTTTGGTACTTACATTGAACACTAATCTGGTTTCAGTGCCATTTACATGGAACACTAATCTGGTTTTGTTTCCTTTAGCATCCTCCAATACACATGAAGTAATCAGAACAAATTGATGGAATTTTTTTGCTCTTTTGGAGACAAAAGTGCTTTTTCTTTGTGTTGTGGTCTTCACAGTGAAATTGGCTTGTTTCAGTGCCATTTACATTGAACAGTAATCTGGTTTTGTTTCCTTTATCTTCTTCCAATACTACATGAAGTAATCAGAACAAATTGATGGAAAAGTTTTACTCTTTTGGGGACAAGTGTGCTTTTTCTCTTTGTGTTGTGGTCTTCTCATAGTGAAATTGGCTTGTTTCAGTGCCATTTACATTGCACTTTAATCTGGTTTTGTTTCCTTTGTCTTCCTCCAACGCTACATGAAGTAAGCAGAACAAATTGGTGGAAAAGTTTTGCTCTTTTAGGGACAAATATGCTTTCTCTGTTGTGCATAGTCTTCCTTGGTTCTTAACCTAAAAGCATATAGTGGATTTGCAGGGTATTTGCAGGAACTGGTTTACAAGTTAAGCAAAGTAGGACAAGCCATTGAGAACAATGATCTTCCAGCTGCAGGTTTGGTTTTGGGGAAAGGCACTGATACCGAATGGGTCAAAACCGTTAATTCGGCTTTCACAAAGGTCTTTCTTGCTCCTTTTTAGCTCGTCACAAAAGATCGACTTTATTAAATGGTTTTGTTACTGTATGTTGAAGCAGCTCTCTTTCGTGTTTTGATGACAGTTGAGTTCAAGCCCAGAAGAGAATACAGAGGTGGAAACATTTAACTCGTCATTAGCTTCTCTTATTACATCAGGTCTCTTATTCACCTTCTTAACTTCTACATTCACAAGAATCAAGTTCTCATTAATACATAATTAAGATCTTTCTTTGAACCTTGGTTTTGATTTGTTTTCGCAGTGAACAAGAACGATATAGAGTCATCGAAGCTCGCTTTCGTGTCATCGGCTAGTGCATTTGAGAAATGGACAACTTTGACAGGTCTTTTGGAACAGCTTAAGGGAATTTGATAGACTACCAATTGTTCAGTTTTCTTGTTTTTGTGTATTTTTTCTACAAAATTGTCAAAGAGGTTTTCTTTTCTTCCTCCAGATAATAATATTGAATCTTCTTTAACATCTTTGATTATCATTCTTTATACATTTGTTCATACTTACCTTTCATTCATATCAAAGACGTTGAAGTTTTCAAGATTTCAATGTTTGAATTCCAAATTAAAAGAAATTTTTAAATCGCTAGAGTAACCAACCATTGTTATATCGAATTCTACTTCAGAAGAAACTCTTTCTAACCAGAATTCGACTAAAAACCGAATAAGGTGCATGCCAATTTGTTCTATCAAATTTGACATCAAGAGAAAGCTATTTAACTTAGAATGCATGCCAATTTAGAGCATCACAAAACTACCCGAAACTAGACCGAACCGGTAATATCCAAGGGGTGTACAATTACTAGATGAAGCTTGACTAGTAGGTGTGCAAGTTTAAGTGATTTGGCCGTTACTACTTGTTTGATTTTTTCTCTGATATGCTTTATTAAAAAACTTATCGCATAACCAAAATAATAACACGTCAATTCAAACATCAATGAATTCGACTTTGAATACTATTCCAAAAAGACTGCATGAAATACTGTTAAATAATATTGTATGCGAAGGTCCTGAAAATGCATTATTATCTGTAAAAAGAGTATTAAACACTAATGAGAATGCATAAAATACTCTGTTTTTTACTTGTATAAATACCAAACACTACTTGTGTCTTATTTCATCACCTTCAACAACAAACATCACATCTCTTACTCTATATCTCTCAAGTCTTCAAAGAGTTTCTTAGTAACCAACATCAATGGCAGGTATCAAAGTTTTCGGACACGCTGCTTCCATTGCCACCAGGAGAGTCCTCCTCGCCCTCCACGAGAAAAACCTCGACTTTGAGCTCGTTCATGTCGAGCTCAAAGACGGTGAGCACAAGAAAGAGCCTTTCCTCTCCCGCAACGTAAGTATATCTATCTATCTACATATGTGTTGTTATAAGACAAAAAAGACCAACAAACCATTTTGATCAATTCTTGAATGTTTTGGTTTTGATGCTGCAGCCTTTTGGTAAAGTTCCAGCCTTTGAAGATGGAGACATCAAGCTCTTCGGTATGAATATTTTTGTCGAATCTGAATTGTCAATATGCAAAAAAAAAAAAGAAAGGCAAAATCACTAACATGGTTTGGTTGTTTTTGGTGCAGAATCAAGAGCAATTACTCAATACATAGCTCACCGATACGAAGACCAAGGAACTCAACTTCTCCCAACAGACTCTAAGAACGTAGCACACTATGCAGTCATGGCCATTGGAATGCAAGTAGAAGCTCACCAATTTGACCCAGCGGCTTCAAAGCTTGCTTGGGAACAAGTGTTCAAGCTCATGTATGGTTTGACCACAGACCAAGCCGTTGTTGAAGAAGAAGAGGCTAACTTAGCCAAGGTTCTTGATGTCTACGAGTATAGGCTCAAGGAGACCAAGTATTTGGCTGGTGACACTTTTACTTTGGTCGAAGTTCACCACATTCCTGCGATTCAATACCTGCTCACAACTCCCACCAAGAAGCTTTTCACCGAGCGTCCACGTGTCAACGAGTGGGTGACTGAAATCACCAACAGGCCAGCTTCACAAAAGATCCTTCAGTGAGGAAATTCTATAAAGAAAACAAAAATGGTTCTGTTTCAGTCTCAGTAATAATACTTAAAAGAGTAGTAAATAAGTGGCTGCCTCATTGCCCAATTCTCAATACTCTG